GTTTTTGAGACAGGGTCTCCCTGTAGCCCCAGCTGTCCTGGAACTCACTATGTAGACCAGGCTGGCCTCGAACTCACAAAGATTTCCCGCCTCTGCCTCCCGAGTGCTGGGATTAAAGGCATGCACCACCATGCCCCGGCCCTGAGTTAAAGGTTTAAAAAAAAAAAAAAAAAAAAAAAATCATGAAAAACCTTACCTAATACCCAACCAATAAGAATCTATAATTAGAATATGAGGAAGAGGGACAGGTGTGACTGACCATACCACAGAATCCCCACTGAAGGTGCTTTATGGAGTCTTGGCCTATAACCAACACTCAGTGACAAGTTCAAGAAAATTCCTTACGCCTAACATCTCTGCTAAGAAGCTTTAAAGACATGCCTTGAAAAGTCAAGTCTTTGGAAACTGGCATCACCCATTTACCATCTGCTTATACTATTGTTGATTCTGAGAAGCAAGAAGCAGTAGTCAGCTCAGAAAGGATCCTGAAAAGTCAGAGTTGGCTTTACAGATCTTTCCTGCAGAAGCCAGGGACTCCAGGACGCAAAGGTCTGTAATCTTTTTATGTTGAAAGCAAAATAAAAACATCCATAGAAATAATGTGGTTGTGTAAAACAAATCCAGTATCCTGGTTTCTGAACACTGATCTAACAAAGTGCTCTATATTTTATCTTCAAAGTGCTTTTCTCTAAAACTTGTTAAATCTGGGGCTGGAGAGATGGCTTGATGATTGAGAGCACTGACTGCTCTTGCAGAGGACCAGGGTTCGATTCCCAGCACCCATATGGCAACTGTGAACCGGCCTCAACTCCAGTTTTGGGGGAAGCCGAGGCCCTCTTCTGACCTTCGAGGTCATGCAGGCAATTCATACACATAAAATTAAAAAATTAAAAAAATAGATTAGAGACTCATGCACCAACATCTCAGTGTTAGTAGCAAAAACAATGAGTCTTTCTGAAAGAAACAGTACATTTTAGAATGAAATGGAGATCTTTTTTAAAGGTTAAAAACTCATTCAATTTTATGTATTATAGGGCTTATACTGAGTTCAATATTGTATAACTGTATTAATTCAACTTTGAACCTAGAAACTTACTGCCACTTGTGAGAGATGTACTGTTGCTCTGCAGTGTGTTACTGAATATGTCTCCATCCATAGAACAGGTAGCAGCTGTCACCAAACAAAGTCTTCTCATAAGAGGACACAGTTTTTCTTGGAGGGAAGTTTCTAGACCTGAAGAGACAGAATTTCTCAGGATGGCCTGTGGACCAGTGGAGTGTCAGTGAATAGTGGAATGAGGGGAAGGGAGACCACAGGGCTGGGTAGGAGTGCACATCTCAGATGTGTCAGCAGGAACTTGACAACTCTGATGGCAGAGGTTAGGGAAGGCTGGTGTGTACGCTGGTAATCTTCATGACATATTAGAGGAGGTGGCTTCTATAAAGAAGCCGAGGGCCTCAGCCATTGAGGAGCTCGGTGTCAGAGCAGTCCCAAGTCAAGTTTGAGATGGCTCTCTGTTCTTCCTAAGGACCTTTCTGGGTTGGACATGGTGTTCCCCCACAGACCAAGGTTCTGTACCTTACTTATGTACAGAAGTATTTAAATGATCATTGGTATAGAAATCAGAGGCCACAGACTCCACCACTGCCTGTGTAGGGCTTGCGTGTCCCTCAGTTCTGGCTTAGGAGAAGGTGGGAATTGCACCTGTTCTCTGTGTTCCAAGTGCAAACACCAAGACATGTTTCTTGAATGAATGAATGCATACATACATGCGTGGTAGATGAAGCAGTGGGTGAGGAGACCTGGCAGGAGAAAATCTGCTTCATTTCCCATGTCAGTCAGGTGGAATCTGGGGCAGGTGAGTCCTCCTGCCAAGGAGTTTATTCTGTTTTGATTCATTTGTGCTCCAGGCCAACCCGGGAGAGCGATGATGAGGAGGATGAGGAGAAGAAGGGGCGTGGATGCACCCTGCAGTACCAGCATGCCCTGGTGCGTGTCCTTACCCAGTTTGTAGCTGAGTCACCTGACCTGGGTCAGCTGACCTACATGTTGGACCCTGACTGGCAGTTTGACATCACCGACCTTGTGACTGAGTTTGTGAAGGTGGAGGAGCCGAAAATCGCCCAGTTACAGGATGGCAGGACCCTGGCAGGGCGGGAGCCAGGCATCACCACTGTGCAGGTATGGAAGGTATCTTTGCTGCTCTGCCTAACACCATCGATTGTATAGTTAACCAATGTTTAGGACTGTGAATGCACAGCATGTGTTTGCACACGTACATTCACGGATTAGTTTGTACAGGTTTGTTCTGTGTACAGAAAAGAACCAGGAGAGGAAGCAAGGTATTCACCAATTATAATAGCCAGACCTCAGATTAACTTTTGCATTTCAGAGTACAGAAACATATCTGATCTTTTACCAGAGAGAACTAAATTAAACATATATTATCAATAATTATTTCCCTCAAAATGATACTCTAGTTTTAAAATTTCTTTCAAATATTTTTTTCTGATATTATTGTATGGGTGTATGTGTGTCCATAGTACATGTATGGAGGTCAGAGGACAACTTCGTGGAGTTGATTCTTCCCAGGGATTGAACTCAGGTCTCCAGGTTTGCATGGCAAGAGTCTTTCTGTCCTGAGCCCTTGTCACCAGCACACAAGACTCTACTCTTTGCATATCACTAGTAGCACGTGGTAGAACTTCTAATTTCCCCCAACCTTAAAGTTTAACCATTTATCTGTGTTATACCCATAATAGTAGACAAAATAAAATTTAAAAGCACATATTTTCAGGGAGATAATGAAGGGTCCATTATTTAAAATGGTCTATGAAATCATCATTATAATAATAATAGCAAAAGAATTTATAGCCAATTTTGGTGGGATAATTATGCAGCTATTTCTTCATACAGATTCAAGATGTTATGGATAATAGTTAATTAGCCACGTTTTAGGTGTTGCCAAAGTTAATTTTTGGCACAGCTGGCTGAAGTGTGTTATGTTCTATATTCGTTTCCTGTTTCCACATAGCAAGATATCACAAATTTACCATTTTAACTCAACACTAGTTTCTTAAGTGGTGTTTCTATAGGCTGGGAGACCAGGTGGGGCTGGCTGGGTTCTTTGCACAGATTACCTCAGGCTGAAATCAATGGATTGATGGCCTCTCACCTAGGAATTTGGGGGAATAATTGACTTCTGGTCTCTTTTACCATCTTGGGAGAACTCAGTTCTCTTTGTTTACAGGATTTAAGTCCCTGTTTACATGCTGGCTATCAGCCAGGAGCCCTGTGTGCTCTGAGAGCCTGCCTGCGTTCCTTCTCATGGAGCCTCTCCATTGTCCCCAATAGCTGGGTTTAGTCCTTCTTACATGTTGAGTGCCTCCGACTTCCTTTCTGCCACCACCTAGGTAAAACTCCTGAAGGGGCTTCCAGTGACCACACTGGGTCCTCCTGTATAATTCCATATCATCTTCCTTTCAGGTAGCTGTGCTGTGTGACATTACACAGTTGGGGAGAGATTTTACAGTAACAGGGATGAGGGCAGGGCATCTTTGGGGGACTAGTTTGAGAATTGCACCTACTGGTCATGGTTTCTAGGATTCAGCCCTGAAGCTGTACTGCAGATGATAGCTTAGCAGGGGCGGATACTTAGGGAATGCTGCTTCCCTTCTCCATGCTAACTGGTTTATCCACCAATGACCCCATGGCCCACACAGTGATCAGTGTTGCCCAGTGACACGCCTGCCCACTAGAAGGGATACACACAAGAGAGGTAGGCTCAGGACACCTCTGCAGAGCCTGCATCACTGACCCAGCACACCCAGAGTCTAAACAGCAATGGTGGATAAAATGCTACACTTTGAATGCATATTGCCAGGCTAGAAAACTGTAGTTAGGGTTTCTAATGTGAATCTCATTTCCCCCCTCAGAATATATTCTAATCATTTTCATGCATGAATCAAAAGAAAGACATGGACCAAGGTGGTCTCTATAAAACCTCTTCAGTTGGTGTTATTGAACAACTACAGACCCTACAGACCCATTTAAACTACATCCATCACTGTGTCCCATTACCAGAACACTGGAAGGTCAGGAGTTAATGGTGGTCCTGTGGGGTTGAGTCACAAGTTTCTCTCTCACTTCTCAGGTCCTCTCACCTCTCTCTGACTCTATCTTGGCTGAGAAGACAGTGACCGTCCTGGATGACCGGGTCACCATCACAGAGCTGGGCGTGCAGCTGGTAGCTGGCTTGGCCCTTTCCTTGCAGCCTCACAGAGTAGACAAGAGGGCCATCATATCCATAGTGGCTGCCCAGGATGTTCTCCGAGCCCCACAGCAGGTGAGACTCACAGGGACCCCATGCCCTATGCATGAAGTCACCTCCCCTTGCAGTTATGGTACCCTGCAAAGGAGGCCAGAAGAGTGCCAGGACTAGGAGTTCTCCAAGCTCCTTCCTGCTTCCTACTCAGCTGTTTTGTTTCTGAGAAAAGTTTTGAGGCTTAGACACACCCTTCCATGTCCCCTGCTTTCTAGTGAGCTCATCTATACTAGGCACAAATCTCTGCTAGACAATGAATAAAGGATTCCATATTCTTACTTCCTCCAAACCAAGAAGGTGACTTGCAGGGCTTAGAAATTCCATTTTAACCACTTGGACAAGCATGGCTAATTGGCACCAAATTGCTGCTACTGACTGCAGTGATTGTCAACTCTAAAATTCTCCTGTCTTTAAACATTCACAGATCATTTATAAACAGACAGAGGCATGGTGCCATTCAAGTGAGCCAGCCTCATAATACCCCATTTACCGAGAACTTTCTAGAGTGAGCTTTGCTCTGTCAGCACTGGCTTCCTAATAAAGGGTGTTCAGAGTGATATTATCAGAACAGTAGCCTGATTAGTTGCACCTGGAGTTGATTTAGACAAATTGCCTCATCTTTCAAAGTGTTTCTACAAAGGTCAAAGTCAAACTCTGTGGTATGGCATGCAATAAATTAATTTGCACTTTAATGCATCCATTAAAGTATATTCTTTGCTCTTCATACCAGCGGAGCTATAACTTGTTAATGATAGCAGTTCAAGGCATAACAAGAGCTATTCACAACTATTAAACATAGAAATTTACCTTTATCTTCTGTGTACTTAATAATGTCCATAGGAAATTCTGCTTACGTTGATAAGTTTGAAGAAACCCGGTTGTAACACCTTGCTTTGGTTTAATTTTCTTTAGGAAGCAATAGTCAGCTCTTGGATTTTGTTCAGTGATGGCTCGGTAACACCTTTAGACATTTATGACCCCAAGGATTTCTCTGTGACTGTCTCCTCCTTGGATGAAATGGTGGTGTCTGTCCAGCCAAACCTTCAGACCAGATGGCCAGTTGTGGTTGCAGAGGGTGAAGGACAAGGGCCCTTGATCAAGCTAGAAATGATGATCAGTGAACCTTGTCAGAAGACCAAGAGGAAAAGTATTCTTGCTGTGGGTAAAGGAAACATTAAGGTCAAATTTGAACCTGGTGTTGACCAGCAGCACGGAGGAAGCAATGATATTGAGGGTGTCAACCGGGAATACAAAGACCACCTCAGCAATTCCATAGAGCGAGAGGGAAACCAAGAGCGAGCAGCCCAGGAATGGTTCCAACGTGGTGTACCTGTTGGCCATGAGGATAGGACCAACAAAAGCACAACCCCCCAAGTTCCCATGGGAGGGAGGGAGAAGCTGCTCAAAGGTGGTGCAGACACCTTCACCAGTTTCCCCACACAAGGCAGATTGCCGGAGCCCAATAATCCTGGTGACCTCACAATGACCTCCAGGGGGTTAACAGACTTGGAGATTGGCATGTATGCCCTGCTCTGTGTCTTCTGCCTGGCCATCCTGGTCTTCCTCATCAACTGTGTGGCATTTGCTTGGAAGTACAGACACAAAAGATTTGCAGTGAGTGAGCAGGGCAACATCCCCCATTCCCATGACTGGGTCTGGCTTGGGAATGAGGTGGAACTCCTGGAGAACCCAGTGGACATTACTCTCCCCTCAGAGGAGTGCACAACCATGATAGACAGGGGGCTGCAGTTTGAGGAGAGGAACTTCCTGCTGAATGGCAGTTCCCAGAAGACTTTCCATAGTCAGCTGCTTAGACCTCCTGACTATGTCTACGAGAAAGAGCTGAAAAACGAACCTATAAATTCCTCGGGCCCAAAGAGGAAGAGAGTCAAGTTTACTTCCTACACCACCATCCTTCCGGAGGACGGGGGCCCATACACCAACTCCATCCTGTTTGACAGCGATGACAGCATCAAGTGGGTCTGCCAGGATATGGGGCTGGGGGATTCGCAGGACTTTAGAGACTACATGGAAAGACTGCAAGACCAGATGTAAACTCCTTTCTTACGTTCGTATTCACCTTTATGCCTTCTGTTTTCTGAATAGTGGAGCAATGAGTCTGATTAGCAATAGGGGGTGGCTCAACCAAGTTTCCCGAAGAGGGGTCTGGAGGGGATCCCTGTCTAACCAAGACGAGAGGTTGGGAGAGCTGAGGCAGCTGAGTTTTAAACGGGAAATCCTGTGAGACAGTGACTTGTGCAGATGGGAGGTATTCAGAGATAGAGCCCAGCAGCAACTCGGCGCAGTACGGTAAACGCAACCCACAGACACTGTTACTCACCTCGTGACCGATGGCCGTGTGTAATTAGGAAAGTTTCGGGTGGTGATTTTTCTATTCCTAGTCCTTTTAAAGCACAGTGGACATTTATTCCCTTTGACCTAAGTTGGGACCTCCGTGGTGGAAGATGATTGAATGTAGCTTCCATAGTTGTCAGGAGTGAGGCTTATTATTTTTATAAACATCTGCACCTGCACTTGTTTCTTTCACCGCTACATTTTTTTTTTAAACATGAAAAGAAGAGATGTTTGGTTTTCATGTGTGCTTTATTCCTGGGGCTCATGTCCCGTCATTTCCCAGTCTTCCTGCAGGATGTCAGGTTTTTTTCCCCTGAGTTTCCCTCACTGTTGTTTCGGATGGTATCAAAGCTATACCATCTTCTTGCTGTTGAAATTTCTTGTCTATCACAGGGACTGAGGTTTCACTGGAAATGTTAGTCTCCCAGAAGGAAAGGCCATTTCTTTATTGTCTTCCACAGGAAGCGTAACAGATTTGGAGAAAAATTGTGTCACAAACATTTATTTTTGTCTCCTGCTTGTTGGTTATTCTGGGGATCTCCTGGGGTGCTGCATTTCTAAGGGCAGAGAGACCCCAATGTCACCATATGGATACAAGTTCTTTGTGGTCAACACAGTGTATTATCCAAACTGAAACAAAAAAGCAGTTTAAGGGGCTGGAGAGATGGCTTAGTGCTTAAGAGCACCTGCTGCTCTTTCAGAGGACCTAAGTTCAGTTCCTAGCATCTATATTAGGTGGCTCAAAACCATCTATAATTCCAGATCCAGGGGATCTGACACCATCTTCTGACATCTGCAGGGTACCTGCGTATACATATAGGGACACACACATAAATAAAAATAAGATAAATTTTTTTTTAAAAGCAGGACTATTTACACAGCAAGAAAATCTAGGAAGCAGCTTCCTATTAAGCTTTCCACTTTGCCAGGACAATTTTTTTTAAATAACACTTCCAGTTAGCACTATATAGAAATTCATCCATACAATGACTGGTACAAACCTCAATGGTGACTCGGACAGAGACAAAACCTTCTTAGGTGTCCTTTGGTAGAGAAAGCAGTGGGTCTCCCCAAATTCATAAAAATAAATGATTGTTCCACAACCCAAGAAGCTGTCATTATGAACAAACCACAGATATTAAACAACTAATGTTGCAAGAGAAAAACTGATTTTTGCATAAATTTTCAATAAAAGTGCTACTTAAAAGCATGATGAATGATGTCAGCTTAGCACAATGTACCATTTTTGTTTATTATGATGGTTTAACTGGAAAAGCAGACTCTAGACTAGTAGGTCTCAATATGAGTTAACTGAACCATTCACAGCCTAAGAAATGGAATTTTTAAAGGTCCAAAGTAGAAGGAAATGCTAGGGTCACGGGCTCCCCAGGGCTGACAACTGAGCTTCTCAAGAGAGTTGTTCTCATCGATCACTTTCCTTTATAGATTTCCACAGATGGAAACATGGCAAACTATCCTTCTGTGACAATGAAAGGGTAGCTAAGTTCTTCCTGTGTCTCCCATCCCAGCACTGCCATGTGTTTACAAACAGGGCTGAATGTGCAGTTGATGTGGTTTGACTTCTTGTTTCTGTGTTTGGAATAGGTTTTAGGAGCTGAAACTACCGGGATCCCCAGATCTTTCTATTTGACTAGAGAATGAAGCCAGGAGACATAGGCTTGGCTGACATCTGCTAAGAATAGTGGGTTTGAGAGGAGGTAGCTCCAAATCATCTGTGCAGAGCAGCAGAGTTCAAGCACTAATTGACACATAGCTTTCCAGATGAGTCTGGCTCCTTCTAAGAGCCCTTTTAAATTCTCTTTCCCATCCCAGAAATAATGGGGTTCAGTTCTGAAAGTGAGGAGCCGTACTGGACCAAGGAGAGCTCTCTACACATGTAGTGGGCTGCCTCCTGCTGGTAGGTGAGGCTTTGGGTGGTGCTGTAATTTGACAGTTGGGGGCATTATTAGGGAACACAGATTAGAGCATGTGCTGATTGATGTGTCTGAAGTGGGCATGGAGGAACTGACCATGGTACTGAAGACAGCCAGAAGGCCAATTTCAACACACAGAGCAAGCAGCCTCTGTGCACTCACTGAATCTATGATGTGTGTGACACATTGGTTCAAATAAAAATCCAGCGGAGTCTTTGGGGGATATTTCCCTTTTCCCACATGACATACACTTACACACATACAGAAACACATATGCACATATACCCACATATGTGTGAATGCCAAGGAGCCACAGGCTTTGCCATTTGGTGGGAATCAAGAGAGCTGTCAATCACACTCAGATTTGGATTGGGCAACTCAGCATAATGGTGTTATTGAAGTTTCTTGTGATCTATTTCCTGTAGATTATAAACCATGGTATCTCATTTTATTTCCAACATCTAGTCCAGGCTTCGTGTGCAGCAGAAGGAACAGTCCTTTTGTTTTCTATGGCACAATGGCCAGGGTAAGCTCCTGGACTACAGTACTCCTTAGCTATCCAGGCAGAGTTCCTACTCATAGACATGAATACAGAGATAACATGCATTGATTTTTAAAATTTTATCCTTAATTAGTACCTCATGAATGTAAGGTTTATGAAGTCACTTTTGTGCATTTTGATAAACATTTTTTACTTCGCTCATTTAGAAAGGAATATTTGTAGGGCTGGGGAGATGGCTCAGTCTGTTAAGTGCCTGCCACGCAAGCATGAGGACCTGATTCGATCCCCAGCAGTCACATAAAAGAATCCATGTGTGATGGCCCATGTTTGGAATCCCAGTGCTGAGGAGGTGGAGACAGTTGGATTTCTCAGCATTGCTGGCCAGCCAGCCTAGTTAAGGAGACTGTTTCAAAAACAAGGTAGATGGTGCCTGAGGAATGATACATGAGATTGATCCGTCACCTCCACATGCATTCACACACACACACACACACACACACACACACAATTGAAAAGAAAGGGTGCTTCAGTGATGGCACCCTGGAACCACAGTGAAGATGTATCTATTAGGTGCCCCCATCCCCTGGCAGTGACCTTGGAGGACATGTCTGAAAACTGTCTTTGTCCATCTAAAGAAGGGTCATGTTTCTCCATTCAAGTCTCTGTGAATGACACCATAGATGGCTTATAAACTCCGCGCCTCTCTCCTCCATTAAACTTGTGTATGTCTAATGTAATGCACCTCACCTGCCATGTGAAAGGTGGATGGTGGGACAACGCTTTGCTGAATACAGACAGCAGATATTTTTGTATGTAATATAGGCAATATAACAAAACTGTGAACGGTGTATTGGAATAAATACATTTTAAAATAAAAGCATGCAAAACTGTAGCTTTTAAATGTACAGACATCCAACACAAAAACATTTAAATGGATGACAGGAAAAGCATCGGGGCCTGAAAAGTGCTCTGAGGTAGGAATTCTGGCCCAGAAAGGACGTCATGGCTCATGCTGGGAGTGTTGATGGAATCCTCCAGAACATTTTGATCTTACTCTTTGTTATTTTAAGATTTTTTTCCTTTTTTTTCTCTGGAAATATTTCAGAAATAAAGTGACTGTATTTTCCAGCATAAAGGTATATTCTAACCACAGGGTAACTCATCATTTTTAACATGGAAATAAACATTTGAACATTCGTCATTGTTTCGTTATTGACTACATGACTATGTTGAATTTCAGCACTCATGTGATTGGCTGTATTCATAGACATGGCTTTTGTTACTCCTCAGGGTTTGACACCCTTATAAAGTGCTAGATGCACATCAAAAGAAAATGTTCCCTAGGAGTTGTAGAAAACCTTTAATTTTAGAAGATTTTATTTTTTAAATCACATGTTATGTATGTGTGTCTGTGTGTGGGTATGTGTACATGAGTGCAGTGCCCATGGCAGCCAGAAGGGCCTTCTGGATCTTCTGGAGCTGGAATTACAGACCGTTGTAAGTCACCTGACTGGGTGCTGGGAGCTGAACTCAGGTCCTCTCCAAGGGCAGCAGGTGCTCTTAATCACGTCATTTTTCCAGTCCCCAAACCTTTACTTAAAAAAGCTTTCTAGGACTGGAGAGATGGCTCAGCAGGTAAAGTGCTTTCCAAACAAGTGTAAGGACCAGTGTTCTGATCCCTAGTGCTCATGTAAATGATGGGTGCATGTGGTGGCCTGCTTATAACTCTAGTGGGAGGGAGTGATGGGATTCCATATAGCAAGCCAGCTAGCTAGACTGGCTGGAATGAGTGAGCTCTGGGTTCTAGGGAGAGAGAGATTATGCATATCTATATAAGATGGGCAGAAATCAAGGAAGACACCCCATGTCAGCCCAAAGGCTTCACATACTTTCACACACATATATGGGAACATGCATGCATATATGTATGTACACCTCACACATGTGTAAAAACCCAAACAAACTCACTTGCTCTCCTAATAGCCTTAGGAAATTTCCCAAAAGTCTCAGAAAGAGGGCTCATGTTGCTCATGTCCTGTCCAGGTAAGAAATGATGATTCCTTGAGAGAAAACACCTTCCATTCTGAGAAGCAATGATGGTATCAACTCGCAACACTTGACAGTCTTCCACTGTATGAATTCTTTTAACATGTCTTTGGCTTTCACTGTGGTTCTTGGTGTCATGGTTCAGTGACCTCAGTTCAAGCCTGATGGGCTTGGGGATCCCGAGGTATAGGTGCAGAGGAAATCAGGACGCAGGGGATGCAGAGGTGTGTGAACCAGTGCATGCTTTATTCTAAGAAGCAACCTTATTTATAATAAAACAAGAGGAAGAGAAATGTTCTTCTCAAGCCAAATGATCTCATTCTGACATTTGCAGCACCTTCCTGATCTTTACAATATCTTCAAGTTCCCAGGGCTCAGCCCTGTTCGGGATCTTATCTATCTTTGTATCTTTATTATACAAACTTACTTATGTACCTTTAATCAGGTTCAAGGGACAGTCAGTCTTATGATAAGAATAACTTCAGATCAAGAACATTCAGGTTCCCAGGGAGCTGAGGCCTCCCGTTCCAGCTCTGGGTTGACTTCAGATCAGAGCTCAGGCCTTCACAGGTTGACTGGATGCAACTTTGTGATTTCATGTTGAGGACTGAAATTTCCTTAGATGCTGGAACCTGAGCATGGGTGATGTTTTTAGACCTTGAATCTGCCTGTCATAATAAAAATGCTTTGTAAGCCGGGTGTGGTGGCACACACCTTTAATCCCAGCACTTGGGAGGGAAAGGCAGGCAGATCTCTGTGAGTTCGAGGCCAGCCTGGTTTACATAGTGAGTTCCAGGACAGCTGGGGCTACAGGGAGACCCTGTTTCAAAAAGACAAAAAAAAATGCTTTGTAAACACACAGGTGGATGCCATTTTGGAATTCAGGGGCCCTGTGATGGTGATTTTCTACCCATTTAACATTATTGCACCTGTAGCTCTTTATTTTTGGGGGTGTGATCCTTGCTCCTTCCCTCTGCTGAGATGAAGATCCCAGGAGGCTTGAATCCTTTGTATAAAATGCCACAGGGTTTGCATGTAGCTTATATGTATTCTTCTGTATTTTTGAAATTACCTCTACATTACTTATGACATCTACTATAAAGTTTATGTGATATCAATTGTTGCTATATTGTCTTGTTTAGGGAATAATTGCCAGAAAAATCTACGTTTCATACAGATTTTTTTTCTACCATTGTTTGATGTGCAGTTG